TAAAATTTGGCCCCATTTGGAGATTAATACCTATAGAACTTCTTCAATATGTATAAATTTTGGTGTTGCTTTGACGGACAGCAGGAGAAACAGTCATGTCCAACTGGTTTTAGAACATGCACCTTAGCATAGGGTCATTTTCCACCCGTACCGTACACACATAACTGTTTCTTTTACACGAACCAACCAGTTCATCACCTCTCTGGAAATCGACCAAAACACACTGTTAGTTGAATGGAATCAATTCTCACTTCACCTACACCATGAAGTTAACAAAACATCGAAGAATATTACGAACAATCTGTGGAGGGTTCCGTGCATCGGAATTGGGGAAAAACTCCACACCTGTCTCATCTTACATGTCGAATTGTTTGAACAGAGGCGGAGTTCTATATCAACTATACGGGTACCCACAGCTCAAGCGGTTTTGACATCAACTAACTGGAGGTTGGCACCATCGAAATTTGACGTGCGTGGTCGCCACTTTGGCTCAGGAGATGGTTCCCATGTCGATTATCGTGTTAATCACATGTTACGGGTGTGGTCACCAAGGAACAAGTGTTGCCAGTTCTCAGTTTATAGATGGCATGACAAGTTGGTGAAATAGGGGATCAACGAGCACTGAATTGGGAATCATCACACATAAGCTGATTGCAACTAGCACTTTTAAAAGGGTGCGCTGAAATGACAGAACTGAACATTCTAATGAATGCGACAAGTCCTCATAGATTACACAGTTCAGTCGATTATATAGATATGGAGTTTATGGTATCTTGGAAAATCAATCCTCCTTGAGATGTATCCTTGAGGAGGGGACCTGACTGGGAATGTAAACTGCGGAACTCGTCCTGATTTCTTACTGAAAGATTCCATCATACAAAAAAGATCCCTGGACGAGAAATTCGTACCGCAACACAAACACAAATGTTTTACAGAACGTTGACTTATCACCTACTTAATGAAGCCTTCATAAAAAGTAGACAAACGCATGACTAGTATCACCCCTCTTGGAGCTCAGTGGGCACAGTATCCGACTTTCTGTCAAGCTTATGTACTACTTGAACCCAAATCTCATGAAATTAGCGGAATGCGCTCAACTGCATACCAAATTGTTTTCGACAGGAGACTCGCCCGGAACCCAGCTGAATCCATTGTGTGGCGCGGGATGGTAATTTGCACAGCAAGACACAGAGCATGACCCATTTGAACCCATCTGAACCCGAATTGGTCGGCGAATTGCGACTTCTAATGACGGCCTACTAGTTAACGGACAACTTTGGAACAGTTCGGTAAACTGACTTCTACTGAGTCTCAGTGAACAAGCTAACGACTCACATATACTCCAACTATCAATATACCGATGATTAAAATGAGAGGTGAATCGCCGTGCGAAAAGTCACTACAGCCGTTACTGGATGGAAATCTGAATCCGGTGGCAATATCTTTCCGTGAAAAGTTCCACATAGTGCAGCAAAACAGATACTGTCATAAGTTGTCAGATAAGTTTGTGGCCGAATAGGGTAAACCAGAGGAATTTGCTGAATTATTGTCCTAATCCTGAGTACGATGCGTAATGTCATCCGGACGCTACCAACAGAACAGAAAACTCCCTATCGAGAAATACACTCATTTGCAAATCAATTTGGTTTTAACGGGAAGCTCAACTGAATCTCTCGTTTATGATGTTCCACAACTGAATGTGCTGCACACAGGCCGCCTCATGATTCAGTTGGCACGATATTCGAGATATGGTAGTATATTTTCATAAAGAAAACTCCCTAGATAACAGGCCGTCTGGAGAACTGAAGATCTAATCCCAGTCTGAATATCAAAATCACTGCTGTTATGAAATTCGCCGGTCTGGATAAATACCTGTTGGTTTGGGTGCTCAAGTAGGTACGCGATTGATCTTCCGCAGAAACATCAGAATTGTTCATCGAGTGTTGTCTTCATGACCGTTTGTATAACCACCGTTAGGTTAGGCATACTCAGACTACCGGAAACGCTATTTACCTGGTTATTTCTACGAACTACTGACGGAAACCAGTAGCATGAAATTACGCGTGATCACTGCTTCGTGGGCCTATTTAGAGCAGCCAAAATAAGTGGTTTACTTCTGTGGGTGTATCAACCCAGAGCGCTACTATATTACGCCATGATTTCGGCTGTCAAGCATAGTGAAGGATATTGTAAAGGATGAAATGAAAAAGTCTATGTGGAATGGACAGAAGTACTCACAAGCGTGTTGCGACAGGCACTTATTTCGCAGAACTTCCAGTAGAAGATAGCAAATCGTAATGAATCGGTCGAATTCTCCTCGTTGGCTACATGGATAGGATATAGTGTACCGTTTTCCAAATGATGTGAGTAAACATAGTCACTCATATGAGTTCGAAAGTCTCCAGTTCATGTTCTGCAACCTCTCACGGGCAACGGCACATTGCCCATGGTGCCGCTGGGTTGAAAGTAATAAACCTAAATAACCGGATTTCCGTGTTCATGGATGCTGACTGAATTTTTATTGGTGAAACCCGTTTAGGTCGAATCAAGTGAGTCATCAAAAGCAACAAGAAAGTCAATTTCATCGCACCATTAAAACTAAGCTACATAGTGCCAGCCGATTCAGTTCCACGCCGCTAATATTTCCAAAGGATGTAGCAGGGAGGATGAGAATTGGCATTGCTTTTCAATCTAGCCCTAGTTACAAGTGTGCCCATTTTTTACGGTACTCATTTTGTGCTGGACAGCCATGAGCTCATCCTCAAGTTCTAGCACATTCGGGGTATTCCACTTAATGTGAATAGTCTCATGAAGTTGATTCTTGAATTGGCAAGTCCCCTTGTTGAGATGATGAATCATGGACAATACTTCATATCGCTCCTTGATTTCGTTGCGACTGGAGCTAGTGCGGGTGTTATACTGGTCTGTTTGCATATGAGTCCGTGCTAGTCCTCCATCCATCAAGTTGTTCTGCTGAAGCTGCATACTACCCTCACTGTGCTAGAAAATAACTGGCAACAAATGATCAAAAGTAACTTTCGCCTGTACCAAGTGCACAGCATGTCCTCACTTGGTGGTCTGGCTAGGATCTATCAGAGGTTTTCTTAATTTTACCACCGGAGCAAGATTGTGGAGGGTTTCAGACAGTTGAATGGCATCAGAATTCGCGGAATTCAGCTAACCCAGTGTCAGTCACTATGCTGTTCATCGGTAGGGGCGACTGTCAGTACTGTCTTTGAGACAGCGTTTAGGAAGCGGTGAGATTCCCAAATTCAGCTACCCAGTGTCAGTCACTATGCTGTTCATCGGTAGGGGCGACTGTCAGTACTGTCTTTGAGACAGCGTTTAGGAAGCGGTGAGATTCCCACGAGGTGCCAACCGGACAACAGAGTATACTGACTTTAGTTGCTCCGATTATCCCCGGATTTTTTGCATCTGTAAGGCTGCTTGTTTGTGCGCAAAACTTGAGCTACTCATGAGTAGTAAGAACTCCAAGTAGAATAAATTTGCTGACCCACGGAGCCGTGGGAGACGTAGTGAATGCATGGTACCGTTCTACTTCATTCATATGCTCTCTGAACATCCGGAAGTCTTGTAAACTCGTAGTTAATATCAAGTAGTATTGAATCACGTGGATTCCAACGGTCACCGTCCTTCTAATCCCACCTAAGATTGCGGCCAACATCCTCAAACTGGTTACGGAGATAACCATCAATGCCCAGTGTTAGTAGCACACATTTTACGTTAAAAAGCGCTCATACATGTGTCACTCGTTTAACTGCATCGGTTGTACAGGTTATCCTAAGTAGTTTCTGGCCCAGCAAAATCTTCCAAGCCAAAAGACCCATAAGACTAGGACTCGAATGCTCAGTTCAAAAATACCAGATATAGACATCTCGAACATCGATCAGCGTTGACCTATGTGTGGCCCGTGAATATCAAGACACAAAAGGAACTAAGGCAGGGAATAATTACACATATTCTTTGAAAAGGTGTACATGAAATAGCACGAAAACGGTGGTGGACATATATAGAATTAAAACCCACGAAGTAGCCCTCCGAATTATAAGGGGATTTTAATTATGTGAATTTAAAGAGATAATCGAACTCGCACTCACGACTGAAGATGACTGTACCCTCCATCAACAGACAGACACTTCCCGAAATTGTTTTTGGATCGTTTTATCTGTGCCGCAGTTACTGGAGAAGTGGGTTTACACTTCGATTCTCTCGGTGTCTTTATTTTTAGCTCTTCGTGCCACCGAGTTCGCGTTGCCCATTAGGGATGCGACCGACATGGCCAAGTTTCCACCCATTCCCCTCCACGGACCTATCGGCCCTGCTTTTCTCATGAAATAGTGCTCAAATTCTCAAAAGTTCAAACCCAATGCTCTGTGAATTCTCAATATGGTTTGTAAATATACTGAAGTTTTCCAATAACGATCCAGTCACTGACGAGGCGTATTTCAGGAGTTAGTTAGACACATAATTGCTAATGGGAGTCGGTGACGCAGGCTTGAGATGATGAGGCTCTACCAGAATGTATGCCCGATAGATTAGTCTGTGTTCCGGTTGACCAAAAAATGGGTAACCATTACGGGATTTAGTTTTCGATACAGACTGGCTGACTGAATGGAAAAAACGCAATTTATGTGCGAAATTCATTGAAAGGTTAGTCAGACAGCATACCTAAGGCACACACTAGACTTCGGAATATTAGTTCCTCATGAACAGCCTGTTTTGCTGTCTATTATTGACTGACTGATACCGGAAAGATCTCATTTGGGCTTCGTCTTGCAGTACTTAGACGAGCCAAAGTCACACGGGCTTGTGTGGCTAATGCTAGTACTTTGGATAGATGGGAACCTAAAGGTGTGAACATTAGGACTAAACAGGACAACCCATGGCGTTGAACATTAACTTATACCCACGTGAAAGAACAGCTGATAATACAAGAGTTTGAATGCTTATCGATCAATCCTGTCAATGGCTTACGAGCTATGGGCGGTGCATTCGAGTCCGGGGCAGATGACCAGAAAAAGTCAACAGTACTAAGTGACATTTGTATATGTGAATCAACTCGAGCAGGGTTTTCTATATGCCCCTTCCATTCATCATCCGACAACCGCCCATGTCCTCGAGGGCAGACCACATTAACACGACTTCCAGCCATCGAAACTGCTGGAAACAAACGGGATGGAGCAGGAAATAATGCCACAAAATCTCATGGTCCATGGGGAGACGCGAAGGATGGTAAAGATCAAATACAGGATATGCTAAGGTTCCCAAGAATATGCAAAAAGTGGTCACCACCACCAAGTGGAACACACTTCTTTCATCTACCGGAAACAGATACCAACCGGTTACCAACGCACCTACCATCAGACGCACACATCAATCGACAGACAACGGGTCCGACAACAAATCCGATATTACTGCCAATTGGCTTAACGGAATCTCAAACGTCGATTGAGAAACGCATGCGTCAAAAGAGTAGGAAAGCCAAAATCGACATTCAGACGTCAAAAGGAGTATATGTGGGTCAAGAACCCGCGGATAAAAGCACCGAAATGTGACCCAGAAGCCTTGGATTGTCCAACTACACCATGCAGGTTGTAAGCTTACCTGATGAACCGTTTTGGACGTTACAACTCCATGTCTCTGGAATTCAACCTTGAATTCGTCGCACACTCCAATGGAGGAGCACTTTACAGTGCGTCCCATTTCATTTGTATAATCTCACGCGCGACACGATTTCTGATACATTCATGGAGATTGTTTGAAAAGATGACATACGTTTTATTCCGTTTTGGACCCATAGAGCGCCACGCAATAGATTTAGCCAATATACATCAAGTGCGAATTACAGTCCCAGGGTAATCAAATTGTGTACAACGCAAACCACTCAAGCAATGCACAGACAATACAGCCCCGTTTGTTGGCTAAGTAACATGAGAATGCTAGTTTTTTATTGGTAATCTGATTGTATTCTAACAGATCTGTAAGTGATCCACCACGTGTAATGGGGAGAGTTTCCGATGATGACTATCTTTTTGGTGAAAGCCGTTACAACAAACGTAATGGATAGTTCGAGGAGAAAAGTGTACAAAAGAGTAATAGCTTCAGGAGTAAGTTTACAGTGTGTTCGACAACTGTGAAGACGGCCTTATTCATCATCATCATCGACAGCACGGCTTCACTGCTGTACAACCATGATTTATTTGAAAGCCTTGTTGTAAAGAGTAAAGGTGGACGGGGAAGGGATTTAGTGCTAGCTTAACACAATCACCCGAGGTGCCTACACCTCCACACATTCACTCAGGCAATCTGGATAGAAACTGACAACAAGAACGCCACTGACATCGGTTGGCAGCCATATCTTGTAGTGTCTCCAACCAGGCACAGTGAGGATCACGCGGTCCCCATCCTGGAAGGTGAGTAGCACCGACAACACCCAAGCGTTTCGTGATCTCCTTCATACTCCTCTGCCAAGTCAAGGGTCTTATTAGCAGTTAGGTTGGAGAACACTGAGAACCATTTGCATCGTTATTCCTCAGACCTCGATGGAAAACTTTTGAGACAAAAAATCTCACAGTTCGTCAGTGACAGGCGATATGGCTGTGGTTAGGGTGCGAATTTATTGACCAGAAGGTCCGTAGTTCGAACCTGACCTCTGCCTCTCGACTTTCCCTGTCTAAACTTAGTCAACCCGGCAGTATCCCAGCCCTCATGCCTTCGTGTGGCATGGTAGTTAGGCACCGAAAGGGTGCTACGATCGAATGATTTTTTTCAATGACAGGCACCTAGGCAAACCACCCAAAACATTGCTTGACTTCGTTAGTTTATTAGCTCATCGCACCATGCGCATAGCACGCAGCTAAACTCTATGAGTCCAGGCGAATGTGAATCGAGGAAAACACTTGTCAATGGCTGTTATGATTCTACCGTATCTGATTATCAGGCCAGTTGGGATTCAGACCGTTGATTGATTGTATTCACAATTAAAAATGAGTACATACGGACTAGTCGGTCAGTCAGCTTAGAACCATGTACCAAGCATACGCTAGTATGGTTGATTCGACGGCACAGCTCACTTTCAGACTGGAGAATGCGTACGGTGAAGAATCAAAATGGAGGAATGGATTGCAGAAGCAATCCATAATTTCGACAAGTTCACTTAAAAGTAGTTAACTGATAGTTCTCTTGCATGGGGGAATCGTCCAGCTGTAACACCCTTTCGGTGCCTAGTCTCCGTGCCAGCGAAGGAAACATGAGTGTCGAGCTTGCGCCAGGTTGCAATAGCCTAGACACTGGCAGTCGAGACACCCGAGATAGGCTCAAAACACGGATCTTCTGGTCAGTAATTTTGCGCCTTAACCACTGAGTCCAATGAGGGGAGAGGCTGGGACAGATCTGATTTCGTCGCTCGATTCGGATATTGACTGCTGCGACAAGTTTCTCTCGTGATGGACTCAAAAGGTTTACATCCATGATGACCTCAAATTCAGTTTGTTTCAATTTATCAGCTATAGATCATGTACCATGGGTGCATTGGTTCCATCTGCTTCAGGTTGGATAATCGGAAGGTGGGAGAGCGTGCCACAGGTAGCCAAACGGTTGAGGCGACGGCATTTTCAACTAGTTCAGGAACGGGGCAGCTACACACTGAAGGTGACGGCTTTGATGCACGAGCGCAACTGACTGCGCGATTGGGCCATTTATGCCAGTGTCATTAGCCATGAGTGAGTTAAGTCCCGGTTTCCTTATCCAGAGAGGTGACAGTTGGCGATCCGACTTAGTTTACTGGTCTGTGTTTTTATACTCCGTTGCTAGGCCACCTCATGGCCAATTCCGCTTAGCACAGGGCTAGGTGAACAGAATTCTGCGAGACAGACGTTCCTCTGGCATGCGGAGTACATGCCCTAACCCATTGGTGACGATGTTTCGGTTGGAAAAATCAGCCACAAGCCTTTCACGCTTAGAGGAGCTTATCAAGTGTAAGTGAAGTTTCGGCCAGTGACGACAACAGCAATAGATGGCTAACACCGATTCCTGTAGAACAAAGCCAGGTCATCACGATCAGACCTGAAACCCGCTTTGGACGTTTGGGTTTAGTGTAGTGCGCCAGACAAGTTTTTATAAAAATCGCTTCTCGAAACACAAAAAGTACGGATAGAGACTTATTGCTGCCCGAGTGGACGTGTTTAGTCAAACTTTGACTCTCCAATCTGGGATTAATAGTAATAGCTATAACCCTGAACTGAGCGAATCCAAAATAGTCGCACCTATAAGTCGGATTTCATTCAGAATTCAGTGTAGCCATTAGGCCAGGTTCGGCAATAAACCACACAAGAAGTCGTGATCCAAAGAAGAACCATGTCGGGACAACAAAGGAAGTTGGCCTCGGTCCAAAGCATGTTCAATTCTCTCAGCCTATTGTCGGACGCCCAAGCTAATGCTCATACACTGAAGTAATGTTGCATAACGTAATGGCAACTTTACCTGGATTGCTTTTGGGAAGACCAAGTACAGTGTGGAAATGAAGAAGCTCGTGAGCCTGAACAACGCGGTTCAACTAATTAGTCCTCTTCTGCGCTGACGTTTTACGTAATTGCAATATGGAAATTACTTTAGGATCGGTTATGAAGAAATGGGGAACGGAAGGGGCATGGTATTAGACTACTCAGAGATGGATTCGATATCGACAACACAGGGACGACATGACAGTGTATCTAGAAACTTTGCCAGCTAAACACAAGGAAGAGCACACATATCCAATTCAAGGTGATAGGTTACACGCAAAGTAACGACACTTTTTAGCGGTCTTTGTGCCTTCACACCAAGCTACATGCTATCCAATTACTGGTTGGCATCACTTGGGTTTCAGTACTAATCAATTAAGACTTCCTATGTAATTCATATCATCCGAACGGTTAGTGGCACGGAAGCCTTCAGGGCGACCCCCTCGAACGACCAGAATTCCTTGAGTAAAAATGTAGACCTGAACTAGGACAAGGGCAAGTACGATAATCGAACGACCTTAACTGCAATATCACATCCAAACAGGATTTAAGTAATTTCATAAAGGAAACTACTCACAAGATTGCTGAAAACCCTTCGACAGCAACTCTTCAGCAACCTTGTGAGTAGTTTCCTTTATGAAAATATACTGCGATATCTCGAATATCGTGCTAACTGAATCATGAGGCGGCCTGTGTACAGCACTTTCAGTTGCAGAATATCATAAACGAGAGATTCAGTTGAGTCTCTCGTGAAAAACAAATTGATTTGCAAATGAGTGTATTTCTCGTTTTGTTGTAAGTAGTTTTCTCGGGTAGAAAGATCATGAATGCGGCACGAATCTTCTGTCAGAGTGGTCACTCGAGAAGTCGGTCAACACAGGGTCAAGTGATGCAAAGGCGACTGTCCGAAAGCAAGTTGTTTATGTTATTCGACCATTCGTTGTCGAGTGATATAGCGTTCAAGTGTTAACCGGAAGATCACAGGTTCTAACTATACTAGCGATTCGTGAGCATTCTCAGAAGCCGTACGACGATTCTTGACCTTCGGCGAAGACTGACAAGGCGGAATTTCAATGAAAACTTCAAAATCTCCGCACTATCTACAAATTATGAATAATCGTTCGGGAAAATGGTGTCATGTGACCGTAAACACAGTACTGATGTCGGGAGAAAAGATGTAACGTCTCTTCTATGGGACCGGCATCCATTGGCTTGAGGTTACCTTGGAACACAGTCGGAAATACAAAAAGGCAACGGCAAACTATAAATCATTTTGGCAAATATGCGGAAAGGCCATGGGCTACGCAATAGTACGAGGGTCAGTTGTGCAAAAAGACTAGGCGGCCGACAAGTGTAAAAAGACAAGAAAGATGGAAGTGAGAACGTACAAGTACAAGGCAGTGAAAAATTGTGTATACTGATATGCATGGGCAAATACAAGAACAAAGACGGATTAAAAATACCAGTAAGATCGTCCCAATCAAATGGTGCAGCAAATGAGCCGAGAATAAAAAATCGACAACTTCCTGACTGAACGGCTGACCGGGAAGGAACTCCAGGAAATGAAGGATTTCTGATTATATTTGGCTCGTCCTCTGTTCATGGACTTGTTCCTGAGGGGTCTCTGTGATCTCACTGTTAAATTCGGGATCTCCGATCGAATCGGGTTCAGCACAACACGAAATAAATGATACATCCATGACTTTGTTGTAAATCAAGGTGCCAATAATCAGGCATGCGAAACCGTCGACTGAAAGAGTATGAAAACAGAACGTGGTTATCAAATGGTCCGTCATTGCTGCCAAAATAGCCGCACTTTCCACAAGCTAACGAGCTGCATATCTGGGGCGAGCTCTATACCGATTAACCCAAAAGGGAGAAAATGTCTAAAAATCTGTTCTTCACTCGCTTTGCACAGCTAAGCTATTTTCGAAGAATGTTACTTTACGGAAAGGTGCTGCTGAATATACCATCTGACCAGAGAAGAGTGCGTAAAGACGTTCAGCTGTAGCACCCTTCCGGTGCTTAGCTGCCATGCCACACGAGGGAGGCATGAGGACTGGGATATTGCCAGGTTGCCCAAGCCTAGACAGGGGAAGTCGAGAGGCGGAGGTCGGACTTTCCGGTCAGTAAATTCGCGCTCTAACCACTTGAGCCATCTCGCCCCCAAAGCGCGTGAAAACGAAGCTCGCGGTAGATAACTTTCCGGTCGATATATATAAAAATGCTGCTTAAAAATTGGGAAAACATGCTCTCCTGAGGACACAACGTAAACAAACATTGGACTCACTTTGGATTAGTCCCCAACTCACGTCAAAAGATTCGCCGAACCGCCCCGATGTTGAGTAGTAGAGGACTAGGCTGATGCACCACACTAACGTGGTGCGTAGCGCATCAATAAGAGTACGATGGACAGCTGAACGAGGGAAGGTGGGAGAGATCGGAAGGGAAAGTAACATGAACATCCGATGAAGTGAAATCATGAAACTATCGTACCCCTGCAGTGCACTGTTGTGAAAGGACGCATGGGGGCTGATGCCATTAGTTCGCTCAAGCTTTTACACAAGTAGTGAAAATTTGGGGATAAGTTTGAACCAAGAATGGATGACTATCCTGCGTCTTAAAAACTGACTTACCTCGAGCTTAAAGATAATCACCAGATGTGTGCATAACTCAACAATGTGTATCAGAAAATAGAGTTCATAAAGAGACCAACCTTCTATAATTTCAGATTGAGCCGCTCAATGGGTAACCAATCGAGGATTCACAAACACTGGACTGGTGAACCTCTTCTGATTCACTTACTCATGGTTGACTGTTCAGCTAAAGCATCACCTCGTTCAGAACACCGTTATCCGACAAGTCAATTAGGCAGTTTGGCCAATTGCGTGCCGGACGCATAACAGCCCAAGTAGGAAATCAAATGAAACGCTGAAAAGAACTAGATGAGGTTGGAATGTATGATCCATACAAGAGCTGAACAACAGGCACCGAGTGTTTCGTAAACATATGATATCAAGACTGGTGTGTAGTTGTAACACATGGCCCTTCATCAAGCGACAGATCGGCACTAGACTCCGTTTGGCACACGATAAGCAAAACACAGTTACGCGTCCAAAGTTAGACCGACAGTGCCATATAAAGCACGAGTGACCCATTCCAATAAAAGATCTACCTTGACCGAAAACAGACAGCTCGAAGTAACAGAACTATACGATGTTGCGAACACCCTCACATGTTGACGGTACGGTAGGAACAGCAGTGTGTAAAGAGTTTAAACGAGCATCTGTTGATTGAAAAGACCTTAACAGTGTATAATCACCGACGGTATTGAACACCAGGGTCTCGCTACTGTATGACCATGACAATCTTTTGAAACAATGATCACAGCCTAGTTGGCATAATCAAGTCTGATATTGAATGGTCACGCTTGCGGCCCACTCCATTTGAACCGAAATTTGGTTGGAAAACACGAAAGCCTTGCTAATGACCGCCGTGTGTGGGCATTTGAAGCGTTCACAGTGGATAACCAAAGTCGAGCAAGGTAATCCACGAAGGCAGAAGCCAACACCAACAAAGATTGCTGATGGGGAGCGACACAAAGAGAAGTTCAAAAAAGGATGCCACAAAGCGTCTGGGAACACAAAAAATGGCACAGCAGCCAGAAACACATTGACACCCCATATAGTAATAAAACAGCAAAATATTAGAAAGCGGACTTACCACTTAAATATCGAGTGATTGAAAGTCCAAAGTAGTTAAACAGTGCGATAGAAAATATGTAGAGAATGCAGTTGACCAGCAGCAATGGACTATCGACCATCTGGTAAAGAGCATCCAGTACGTTTTCGTAGGATCCATTGAGATCGTTCCCAGGAATAAAATGTACGGCTGGAAGAGCAATCTGTGGGCGAGATAATGAGATACCTTAGAGGATGTGTGGCGAAACAGTGGGTGACGTGTGGTGGTATCGCTGTGGCGACACAAACGGGACTAGAAAATGAATCAGTTCATGAAGAGTTGTGCATATTAACTTCTATTATGCAACCACGGCTATATCTTGAGCTGAGGAAAAATTCCGGTCCACAAACAGGCTGTTGACATCCTAATGGCAAATAGTAATACGAACGAAATGGAAGTCTAATTGCGTATGAACATCGACGAACGACAACCCAGATATTGATTGTTAAGGAGTATAAATAGGTGAAAGAACAAGGACCCTGACGACACACAAGCACGTCTAACTGTTTTGACTGATAGGATGTGCGTGTCTGAAACCATCGCCCTTGTTGGGTATGGACACGGACATCTTACTAGTGCACATACTGTAAGTTCCAGTAGTGATAAGTGAGCTTTTAAAGTCTTCCACTTCGATCATTACGTCAGAAAACGTGTGGCAGAAATCTGAAGCCTTATTTACTGGCGCTTTCGGTGGTATAACGCTGCACCATGTGGTTCGACAGGCTGCTAGAATGCCAGCCATGGTTTTATGAAAACTCATGGACGTCCATTTCACCTTGAACTCCGAGTACCCAAAATGTCATCTGAATGAGGCCGCTAGCATCTGAGAACCGGAAACGGATTCGTCACTTCTGTTCAACTTCGGTTTCGTAATATTACCGGTTTTTTATGACGTTTTTTCCGGGTCTTCCAATAGTTTCAGCTAGTAGACGTCCATTAGACGTTGATGAATCTTGAGTTAAACGACATACCCGTACAGAAGTTACCGACCCAATATACACGGTATGGTTATTTACGGAAGTTGTCACTGACCCAGCGCTTACTAATTTCCAGTGTTTCGGCTGATCGGGGTATACAGATATAAGACTCCGAGAGCAGGTAGAAATTACCGCTTGGTGTGTCACACATGTTCTTCGGTGCAGGCTCTATCATAGGACTGAGCAAATAGCGTACTTTCCAAACACCCATTTAATTGATTCACTGCAATGTTCAGCATGTAATAAGCCGCTAAAGTTCTAGCGGCCACGGTTCACAGACTCGTCCACACCGTTATCACCGTTCAGTCTGATAAACACTCAAAAGTCTGCTGGTTAACTGATTCACCTTTGGATGATGGACAGGGTGATGATCTGGCCTAACGGGATAGTGGGTCGTTAACGCGGTGAACATGCAGCCGTATACCGAAAACGATAGTGTTAGTAAAGTTGACATGTTTTGATGATATGCACTAAAACTCCAAGTACGGTATCACGTGCTGCTCCACTATAGGAGGTGACAATCGTAGCCACTGTGACGCACACCATACAGAATTGACTGCAAGCTTACTTGCATGGCGGACGAGACTAAACACGAAATGTCGTTTTCAGTCAAATGGAAAAACCTTGGAACCGATTGAGAAGTCATCGCTTCAGGATGGCTTGTTAAACAACCGGTAGTTTTTAACAGGGTTCAGTTAAAAACCTAAACTTTGAAATGCCGTTCCTTGGGACCGTAAGAAGACTGAAGGTGTTACCTACACCAAAAGACAACCAACACGGAGGGTAGGTGTATGAGCCCCCTGGAAACTTCAAAACCAGCTGTGACCAAAAATAATTCCCAAACTGGCCACAAATATGCAGAAGTAAGTGCTGCTGGATACAGCACCCTTTTCATGAAGATCATATCCAAAAGGAATTGGTCATTTCGAATAAATATCGATCGGTGCGATATAAAGTGAAGAGAAGAGGTCATCCCTAACTTCAAAAACGGCACACAGACGCTGTGTGAAAACCACCGTGGTATCAGTCCGACAGCGGTGGCATCAAAGGCGGTCTCTGGTTTCATCCTTTGAAGGTTCACGGGGGTTCACAGGGAAAGACAAATCCGTGAGAACCAAACTGGGTTCCGTCCTGTAAGAGGATGCATCGATCACACTGAGCATCCGACAGATACTGAAACAGCGACACTAATTGCGTTCGACACTCCATTCATAACTATTGGATGGAGTGTTGAAATCGAAGCAAAAAGGAACATACGGCTGGTCGATAGAATATCTGCGTTCTGGTTGGAGACGTGGGACAATTGTCCGATACCAGAGAGTAAAAAAATCCTGTTGCACTTGGATGACAGTAGTGTATCCCCAGACATAAATCTGAATGTAAATTTTTGTTTTTGCCGCCTAAAACATGGGCAAAACTTCAAACAACTAACTCAGGGGTCTTCCAAACGTCCAAATGAGTTACAGAAGGCCTACCAGAGAATGAACCTACTAAAATGGTTGACGACACCCAAAGTGCGACTAATGTGGCAAAACAGGTTCGCTCGAATACCATGAAACATGGGTTCATATGTCCAGTAAAAGCTTCTTCAAAAGCATCACCATGTCATGTTTTGAACAGTGTGAGAGACGACTATGTGCTGCTCCTGTGGAATCCGTAGAAGAGGAATACAAGATAAAAGATTGCAAGTAGCCAACAGTGAAATTCAGAAAAAGCCCATCCGACAGTATCGGCAAGTCAACATTAAGTTTATTTTTACTCGAGGATGTTTTACCAACGACTTCGTTAGACTGAAGAACTTAATAAATGCTGTCGACGGAAACATTTCTTGATAAAATCCAAAAATCACGGCACCTACTGGAACGTCTCATAACTGTGGTATGGAGGAAAGATATTCAAGGCGAAAGAAACTACGAGAAGTTAGTCATCAGAGTGACACTAAAAACAAACTCCACAACCTGCACTGATCAAGTCTTACCCGGTCATGTACCGGAACTAAAAGGCACAGTTCATTATCACGAAAACTGGGAGAAGGAAAGAGGTTAACGCTTGGTCCAATGCCACAACGGCTCATCGCTGCAAATAGAAGGTTGGAGAATATGAAACGCCTGCGGAGAGACTGCCGCGCATCAAGTGAATTACGTAACCCGCTATCCAATTAAGGATATTTTACAGAAACAGGGTCGATTGAAGTTCGTTTGATTCTGATCAAACCACATCACGGAGACTAAACAAGGACCCCAAGTAGAATCTATTCGTATTCTTGATACGAAACTTGAGTAGCTACCTGAATATATGTGAAAACATAGGTAGAAAAGAATTCATTCTCAAGAAGCCACCGTCAACAGAGTAAAAGGGACTTGTCGTGCCCCCTTAGTTTAGAAAAGGGATGCGGTGGAAAGCAATCGTTTTTTGGAAGTGACACATAGCAAGGGGGGTTTTGCGGTGTTAGGGCCGTACGATCCCAAAATCCTCAACCAATAATGGTGATCATCAATGGCTTGTCAGTGGAAAAGGTAGATTTTGCTCGTCTGCATATCTCTTGTCTTCAAACTGACCAGAAGCCTATGACGGTGGTCAGTGATTGTCTTGTCATCTTTGAGTGTTACTGTCTGGTTTGGTTCGGATATAGGTAAGCCCAGCTATGATGACATTGGTCCCAACTTGAATACATAGGGAAATATAAAGGCACCAATCGAACTGTTGATTTGGAAGACTGTAACAATTTTGGTTCGCTGGTAGCGAAATATACAGGGTACAGATAATAGAACTACGAAGGGTGTGGTAGTGTAAGTGTACTTTTTACGTAACATGTGCGCGAAATTCCGGTAAAATGTACGTAAACGTAACCTATGGACTGTTCATCGAACAGTAAGTTAGACAGGCTAACTTACGCCCTTTGACCAAAGCCACGTGTACGCCCACCCTGAGTCGAAACGAAGTAGCGACACTATTTGAACCCGAATTATCGAAACATAACTCTAGAAAAAATATAGAGAGAGTAGCAGTGGAATCACCCCATCCGGGTCTGCGACTTATGGTACTTCGGTTAGAATGGGTGAAAACCAGGCTTAGCATCCAGCTCAGTGAGAGCGGTTGTGCCAAACAATGCGTATCAGCAGTAATTGAACTTTACGCCGTCAAACTTGAGAACGTGTAAAATCCCAATTAATGGGTAGAAAAATGGACGCCTGAGTCAAACCAACCAGGAAACGTAGAGCCATTCAATGGCTACCGTAGCTTGTGACGAGAGAGGATGTAGGATTCTGGTTTGGTATCTGATCCCGAACCCGAAGGTATACATGCGATTTGAGTGTAAGTAAAGGTTTATCAAGTGGTTCTCTAGTTAGTTCTGAACCTGATCGAAATCATTTGAACTGATAAAGTGAACACAACACTTCCCTTTGACGGATGGACAAAGAAAATGCGAATTCGGAAAGGTTAAAACAGAAGAATGAGTTTAGAGAGAGGTTCGAAAAAGAACACGTGGCAGTGAATTCGAATCTGAGATCATTTAACCTCTTCGGCTTGGGTTGCACGCTTACGGTTGCCAGCATCTAATTAAGGAAGCACACAGGATGTCAAACATTAAGAAGGAATGAGCATCATTTCAAAGTTACGACACTGCAGGTGATGGTGGACGTGCAGAGTTTTTCCTGAACAAGACACTGCGGGAACCAATCAATGAGAATGATCTGAGAAGCATCTGAGAATATATAACTGGTAAATCATTCGATACATCAGTCCACAGACCAGATCTACACGATTCAACGAACTTTCCAGTGCAAAACTGAGTGGGTGGTGTGTGAAAACAATCCGATCATTGAGGTTTGTTTGTTCGTTCATACTACTGGTTCTACAGTTCACAGGAACACGTATCTATTAGATTACCGTGGAGTTGGAACTCAATTGGCACCGACAATAATTGACTCTGAGTGAAGAAGAAGGCGAACGTAAACTGAGGATCCGAGCTATAAGACACAAAGGCGTTGAAACCTACACCGAACCCGTGTAAGTAGTGGGATTACCTGGAGAAAATGCTGAAGTTGATGGAAGAAAACCATTCAAATTTTGTCTTACACAATCACGATGCAATCCGAAGGAAGCATGGAGGGGCATCGATTTGTAAATTATTTTCAGGTTATACGTGGTGGATCGATTCACTTATGACAGTGACTGCAAACATCATGAAACTAGCTACACATACAACTAAATAAATTAAATAAATAAATAAATAAAACATGGACCGCGAAACTTACACAAATCATCATAAGACTACATACAACTAATAAAATAAAAAAATAAATAAATAAAACATGGACCGCGAAACTTACACAAATCATCATAAGACTACCAAACACACCCTCCATGCCGACAGCCTGCAGTGGATGGAAGCCACGCTTCTTTAGGAATACCTCCTCGACAATCATTTGGCAGGCGGTCGTGAACGCTCCAGCCAGGACCAGTCCAATACCTGATAGCCATGAAGGATAAATAAATATACCAGAAAAGAAAAATGAGACGCTATGCCGTAGAAGGAAAAGATGCTCGGAGAGGATGAAAACGGACAATGTTACGAAATATGGGTAGCCCGAGTTGCGTCGCTTGGTGGCTTTCATTTCAGTAGCCAAGATCGGTGAATAAACGGACAAAATACAATGAAACTATTGGACTGCGTCGGTCCAAATGCACTGTAAAGGACAAGTTTTCCGAAAATGGGTGAAATCTTCTTTGACGTGGGAAATAGTCAGTTAATGTTGGTGTTCCAAAAAAAAAACCGGAGGTGCAGAGGAGATAATAACTAGGTGAATATTATTGCACGGTAAGCAGTAGTAAGTGCTTGCAAACCATGGAATGCATTCTCGCACAACTCAAATGGGCTCCCTTCAAGGGATTCAACACTAGGGAAATAGTCAATGTTGGTGTTCCAAAAAAAAACCGGAGGTGCAGAGGAGATAATAACTAGGTGAATATTATTGCACGGTAAGCAGTAGTAAGTGCTTGCAAACCATGGAATGCATTCTCGCACAACTCAAATGGGCTCCCTTCAAGGGATTCAACACTAGAAGGGTCAGTTAAAACCAGAACCACGCGGCCAAAGGAGGATTGGCGCTGACCATTGCCGGAGCTGAACGGTCATATTTAAGTCATGACCCAAGTTTGAGTTGCCTCAGAGCAGCTACCTCCAACCTAGAGTGTGCGCATTTCTCAGACGTGCAAAACAGATTAACTGGGGAAAGGAGGTGCGATTCGCCTCCAAAGAACTGGAAAAATATCGCCCACTTCCAAATTTTTTGCGTCTGCAATAAGCATTCAGTACCCTGAAAATGCAATCCACTTGGAATTTTGACTCATTTTGGGTTATCATGCGTACCTTATACTGGTTCCTCGAAACAGACTCCAAAGAATTTCTATTCTGTGCATCGGGTCCAATGCTGTCTGTATTAGATCACTAGAAATCCCATCCATTCTATACGTCTGATTTTTTCTACCACGAGAAAAAAAATACAAATAGCCAGCAAAACGACCAGGGATGAATAAAAACAGCTGGGAGCTTGAAGAGTTTTGAGTGGTGTGTATCCAGTCCAAATGTGAGTTATTGTAAATGAGTAAATGTGACCAGCCGTCCACGGCCGACGGGTTTAGTCTTGGAGTGCTATTGGAAAGGTTGCGAGTTCGAATCTTCCTTGAAATTCGTGAGATACGAAATGATGATGGATCCTGACAACAGTGAAACAGCTGTACAGTACTTTTAGGCTATTCGACACAGAATGACCTCATTTACATGACCGAAACTCGACTGAAGTGTATTTTAGGGAGTTGTTCTAGTTACAGCAAATAAAAAGAACGTAAGGAAAAAGTGTACCTAGCAAGTGATTTGTTTTATCAGAGGAAAACAGATTCCAAAGTAAATGGAACGACACGGCCACATTTCAGTTGCCGCTTCTCCTCTCAGGTTGAACGAGAATGTGTGCATAAACGGTGAACATAATCTACAGTGGAACACCTCACAGCCGACTATTCCATTTACTTTGTGGTGCACTGGTTATAACGCAGTCACGTGTTATCCTGACTGTCCGAATTACGAAATTGAATACATCAGCTTCTTGCAAGTAGACAAAGTTAATAAGTTGTTTGTTCATTTGCTGACTGAGGTATTATCATCATACTTGGTGGCGCCAATCACTTTAAACCTGAAGGAAATCCAGTGGGACAGTCAGTGGGGAAATAGTAACATTCAAGGTAAACGAAACGAAAACTTTAAACCCAGTAACCACTGAGAGAACTTTCCCAGCGTGCATCCTCCCCGTACGATTTGGTTCTACACATTATCGAGCACCAGCACATCGCGTGTCGCTCGTTCAATGGACGTACTCCGATTGGTTCTGAGCTAACTTAATAATAACAAAATAAATATTGATCTTCCATCTATAACATCTTTTCGGCGTTGCCATGCCGTTCGAAGGAAGCACGACAGCTGAGGTACTGCCATGTTGCTCAAGACTACACGGAGCAGTCAAGATGTCCAAGTTAAGTTCCAACAATGGACGCTCCGGTGTGCGCATTAACCATTGATCCACATCGAGCTGAATAGTGAACCCTTTCTGAAAGAAACTGGACTACTAACAGGAACGAGGGACTTTTTTATATTCAATCACTAATCCACAATGGCAACGAAGTTATATATATATATATATATATATATATATATATATATCGCACGCCTTTT